TGCCATCTCTGCGTCCATGGCCGTCTGCCACTGAGAGGAGTAGGGACCCGCGATCGCCTCAGCGTAAGAGCGCGGTGTGGGGATGTCTATAGCATCCGGGTCTCCCTCAGGGGCAAGCAGCATGGCCACGAGATGAGGCGCAGCGGCCGCAAGACACTCAAGGTCCTCCTGTCTGTCCTCAAGGACGTCCGTGCCAAGAGCACACGCACACCCCCCCCGGACGGAGGGCAGACAGACTCAGACTCAGAAACACAAGACTAGCAGCGTAGTCTAGACGACAGGCAGCAGCAAAGTCAACAAGCTCAGCGACCAAGGCAGACGCAGCAGCAGACTCAAACGACGGGTCAGTGACAACAGTGGCTAACAGACGCGTGACAGTAGGGTGGGCAGCACGAAACTGGTCAGACTCAGGGTCCGCAAGGTCAGGCAGAGAGGACGCAGGGGGGGACGGCAGAGGAACACGCTGCGGAGCAGAGGAAGGACGCAGGGCTACGAGGTGCGCACCAGGGACAGCCGGCTGATGCGACGAGAGGAACACGACGACCGGTACGACCAGAACGAACAGGCGAGATAGGACGCGACGCAGGCTCACGACGCTCAACAAGACCTCCGTCTGCTCACTGTAAGGAGAAGGAGCAGGCAGTGGTGAGCCGGGCTTAACGGAAGACCAGTAGAAGACGGGAGGCTAAGAACCTGGCGAAGCACAGAGTCAGGCGGTGGCTGAGACGACGGAGACGGCGGAGCGAAGAACAATCGCGCGGTGCAGTGCCACCAGCACCAGCAGCTCCAGTACCCCTCCAGCACCTCCAGCACCCCCAGCAGCTCCAGAACCTCCAGCGCCAGCACCTCCAGGACCAGCTCCACCAGCAGCAGCACCCCCAGAACCGGCACCTCCAGTCCCAGGGTCTCCAGCCTCAGTGTCTCCAGCAGCAGCACCCCCAGAACCGGCACCCCCAGTCCCAGGGTCTCCAGTCGCAGTGTCTCCAGCAGCAGCACCCCCAGACACAGCACCTCCAGTCCCAGCAGCTCCAGTACCTCCAGTACGAGCACCTCCGGGACTTGCGAATCCGGCACCTCCAGTAGACAAAGGACCAGTACCACTCCCAGCTCCAGCGACGTCAGCAGACGCACCTCCAGCGGCAGAGCCCCGAACTCCAGTAGCGCGACCCTGACGGTGACCGTACCAGTCGTGCAGCTGCTGTGAGGTGAGAGGCACACGCGGACGAAGGCGGCCACTCCAAGGAGACCGCGCACCAGCAGTCTCAGTACCCTCAGGCGCCGCACCCCCAGACTCAGCACCCCCAGACTCAGCACCCCCAGACTCCTCACGCGCAGGCTCAGCACCCCCAGACTCAGCACCCCCAGGCTCCTCACGCACACTCACGCTCCGCCCCCCAGGCTCCGCACCCCCAGGCTCAGCACCCCTAGGCTCAGCACCCTCAGGCTCAGCACCCCCAGGCTCCGCACGCTCAGGCTCTCACCCCCAGCAGGACCACCCCCAGTAGGACCTGAGTCACTAGCGACCTCAACAGGCTCAATCAAGGGAGGGTCTACTTGAGACACACCTGAAGGAGCAGGACCTGGAGGGGGGAGGGGGTCTACCTGGGGAGGACCTGGAGCGAGAAAGAGCGGCGGGGGGGGGAGAGGGCAAGTGCGGTAGGGAAAGGACGGTAAAAGGGGACCGACTCGTCAAAGGTGACGTCCTGAGACGCAAAGACGCGGCGCAAGGTGGGGTCGTAAAACTGCCAGCCAGGCGCATCAGGAGGAAAGCCAAGAAGACACCGAGAATGGCGCGAGCAGAGAGCTTGTTCGCAATGTGATCGCGGACAAGGCACGAGCACCCCAGACCGGAAGGGCGACGCATCGCCAACCTCCCCCGTCCAACGCAGCGTGAGCGAGGTCTTTGGCAAGGAGACACGGGGCCAGAGGTTGAGCTGATGCGCGGCGTACCGGACCGCAAACGGCCACAGAAAATGGGGGGCAGCCGCATGGATCAAGGAGGTACGAGCGACCTCCATGACCAAGCCAATGCGGCGCTCAGCAACCCCATTCTGCTGCGGAGAGGCCGGAAGCGTGAACGTCTGGCGAAAGCCGTGCTCCTCACAGAAGGCTCGCAAGAGGTCGGAGGTGAACTCACCACCTCTGTCAGAGTGCAGACGCAGGATAGGAAAGTCCGAATGGAACCGCTCGCGGAGCTGGAGACGAACAGCACGGATCCAGGGGATCAGAACATCAGGGACCTGACCCTTGCGCTGCAAGGGGAAGACCGTGGTGTAGCGTGTGTAGTCGTCGACGACCAGTAGGAAGTACCGCTCGCGGCCCTGGCCCTGGACGCGGGCGGGGCCCCACACGTCCATGTGGAGAGTCTGCAGTGGTGCCTCTGTGGGAGGGAACGAGGAGGAGTGAGGAGCGGCGCGCTGCCGCCCCTCGACGCAAGGAATGCAGAGCGGCGCAGGCGAGGAGGAAGGGCAGGCAGAGACCTGGGAAGACCAGAGACCAGAAGCGAAGGCAGAGTGAGCCACGAAGGCGAGGCAGGGAGGGGTGACCAAGGCGATGGTGCCACAGGAGAGTGTCGTGCGACAAGCGGCGACACTCACACTGAGTAGCTACCTGAGCAGACGCGTACAACTGGGAGACAAAGGGGTGTGGCGTGAAACAGTGGTGAGGGTGTACAGACTGGACCCAGGCTCACGAGTGAACGTGGCCAGGTGACGGCCAGTCTTGGAGCACGTGAGGATCGCCACACGCTGTCCTCCAGGAGTCCAGGTGTCAACCCAGTGATCCTGAAGGACGGCGTTGCTCACCAGGTTCGTAGAGAACGAGGGGATGTGGAGACCTGACAGCTCACCAGACGGGACCGCCGGGCACGGAAGCACAGTGGTGGCTCGTGCAAGCACTGGGCCCCCAGAGGGGTCAGCCAGTGAGACAGGGACAGGTGCAGGGAGGGGAGTGACTGTGGTACTGTCGCGAAAGAAACAGCGGGAAGCACCAGAGTCAAGTGTGAAGGTGTGCAAGGCCGTAGTAGGCGCAGTACCAGAGAGAGCAGTCTCACTGGCTCCTGAGAGAGCAGACTCACGAGCACCTGCGAGAACAGACTCACTAGCACCGAGAGCGGCAGCCTCACTAGTTCCGAGAGCAGGAACCTCTATACCTGGGTCTGGCGGCACACACAGGGTAACAGTCACTCTGAGCACGACGCTGAGACGCCCAACGCCGAGCAAACCACTCACGAAGCTCCTGGGGTGTAAGGGGCTCACGCGGACGCCGCTGCAGCTCCACTAGACCACCTCCAGAAACTCCCAACGGAGGAGCTACACCGCGACTGCCACTACGGCCACTATGCTGAGAAGCGCCCAACGCTGAGAAAACCACTCACGAAGCTCTTGGGGTGTAAGGGGCTCACGCGGACGCCGCTGCAGCTGCACTAGGCCACCTCCAGAAACTCCCAACGGAGGAGCTGCATTGTGACTGCTATGACGGCCGCCACCATTCCCACTGCTGCCTCCACCTCCGCCACCACACTCCCATCGCCGGTACCGCGAAGAGAAGTCATAGCTGGTACTAGGGTAGGTAGGGGCGGCGCACTGGCAGGAAAAGGCGACGGTCCGCCAGAGGAAGGCGGCATGCTGCAGGAGGTAGGGCAGGGCGCAAGCGCAGGGCAGCCGCGAGGTGCGCGCAGGCTGCTGTAGTGGCGCGCGAGCGGCTGAGGCTGCGCGCGGGGCAACCGCGGGCTGCGCGAGGGCGGCAGCCGTGGCGCGCGGGGCTGTTGCGGGCTGCGCGAGCTGCTGACGCAGCGCGCGGGGCAGCCGCGGGCTGCGCAGGCGGCGGACGCGACGCGCGGGGCAGCAGCGGGCTGCGCGAGGGCGGCAGTCGCGGCGCGCGGGGCTGCTGCGGGCTGCGCGCGCTGCTGACGCGGCGCGCGGGGCAGCAGCGGGCTGCGCAGGCGGCGGACGCGACGCGCGGGGCAGCAGCGGGCTGCTGCACGCAGAATTAGGGTTTGCGCGCGCGTGCAACGCAGCGCAGGCAAGGCAAGGCGCGCGCGGGCAGCGCAGCGCAGGCAAGGCAAGGCGCGCGCGGGCAGCGCAGCGCAGGCAAGGCAAGGCGCAGGCAAGGCAAGGCGCGCGCGGGCAGCGCAGCGCAGGCAAGGCAAGGCGCGCGCGGGCGGCGCAGCGCAGGCAAGGCAAGGCAAGGCGCAGGCAAGGCAAGGCAAGGCGCAGGCAAGGCAAGGCGCGCGCGTACAGCGCGGCGCAGGCAACACGTGGGGCAGCTCAGTAACCACAACGGTAGGTGGGCCCGAAAAAAAAAAAACGGTCCTACGGACCTACTGCTCTGAAACCATGTTAGAAACTACAGGCAGGAATGAATGAACTAGCAGGAAGTTGGGTACATTTGTCAAACCCTAGAGGGGTTGTACCCCATATTGGCTACCCCACTACAGCCTACACAAATATAGCATGTATAATTTGACATCGTGAGCATCGTGACATCGTGAGCATCGTGACATCGTGAGCATCGTGAGCTCTGATTGCCACGTTCTAAACAGTGTACTTACATTCAAAGACACCATCGAGAACGATGTGATCGTCCCATCAAAGTTGTTTCTAGCTGCCTTTGTGACCATCTGCAGTCATAGAGAATGCTCGTAATATATTAGAAAAATCGAAAATAGCAAACCAACAATTCACATCAAAGCAAACAATATAAGCATTCTGAAAATAACAAACAAAATACGTACGATTGTGCATTATCCAACTTTACACTCATTTTACCCTCACATGACATCGCTTGTTGAGCAAGCCCGCCAAGATCTCGTTCTTCGCATCGCCTCCAGCGGCGGTCCATGTTGCAATGCTGAACTGCTCCAAGCCACTCTTTAGAGCACTTAAAACTCGATGTGGCATGAACACCAGTGCGAGCATAACTTTTGCCTGTGGGAGGTATATGCCAATTGACATAGTTAGAGAATGAGATAGAATGAGTAGATGTACGAAATTGTGAAGAAGTTTCAAATTTATGCGTGGCATGCGTGGAAAATTTGATGCACAATTTGTGTGCCTAAAAATGTGCGGACAAGCAGCTATACGTAAGAGAAGATATAGCATAGGCCTAGGATATGATTGTCAAACATTGCATGTTCAAGTTGTGTAGGCTGTAGTGGGTTTGACCTTAGGGGGTACACAAACTTAGGGTTTCCTACTTGTACCCAACTTTCTGTTAGTTCCATCATTCCTGCTTCAATCATTCTGACATGGTATCAGAGCAGGTCCTTCGCTAGGACCTAATTTTTTTCGGGCCCACCACTACTGACTGCCTACTAGCGCCTTCGTGCGCCCTACTGTCGGAGCGCTCCCTAGCGCCTCCCCCCCAGCGCCCTCGTGCGCCTCTCTTTCACGGCCCCTTAAGGCCCCGTCGACCCCGCGCGCCGCCCCTTAGCGACCCGCGCGCTGCCCCTTAGAGGCCCCGTCGACCCCGCGCGCCGCCCCTTAGAGGCCCCGCTGGCCCCGTCGACCCCGCGCGCGCCCCGCTTAGAGGCCCCATCGGCCCGTCGACCCCGCGCGCGCCCCGCTTAGAGGCCCCGTTGGCCCGTCGACCCCGCGCACGCCCCACCCAGAGGCCCCGCTGGCCCCGTCGACCCCACGTGCGCCCCTCCTAGAGGCCCCGCTGGCCCCGTCGACCCCGCGCGCCTCCCTTAGCGGCCCCGTCGGCCCCGTCGACCCCGCGCGCACCCCGTTTAGCCTTAGCGGCCCCGTCGACCCCACCTGCCGCCCCCCTTACCGCCCCGCACGGGACAGCCACGGCCCCGCCAGAACCAGGTCGTCCGAGCCGAGCCGCGCAGCCCAAACCGAGCCACGCCGCCCTAACCGAGTCGCGCCGCCCTACCTGACCCGAGCCGCGCCGCCCGTACTGAACAGCCTCTCTAGACCGAGCCGCCCTACCTTAGTCGCGCTGCCTACTGCTGTTAGGGTGCACCTACTACTACTACTGCTGCTCCTACTGCTACTATGGCTAGCCCTCCTGTGCTAGCTTTCGATGCTGAGGGCCGCCCAGTGAAGTTTGACACCTGGCTAGATGACCTGCACCTCTTCCTACAGCTCACTGCCAAGGAGGACATCTCACTGTACGATCACGCCCTAGGCCATGCTACTGCCCCTGGAAGTCAACAGGCACCTATGTCGACGAGGTTCCCCCACCTGGGGCGAACATCGTCAGTGGCATGTGGATTTTCAGGGTGAAGCGGCCGCCGGGTTCTCCTCCTGTCTTCAAGGCGCGCTACGTTGCTCGAGGCTTCAGTCAGCGAGAGGGAGTAGACTTCTTCCAGACCTTCTCCCCCACCCCGAAGATGACTACTCTTCGGGTGCTACTGCACATAGCCGCTCAGCGCGACTACGAGCTTCACTCACTTGACTTCAGCACTGCTTTCTTGCAGGGCAGCCTGCACGAGGAGATCTGGCTGCGCCGCCCTCCTGGCTTCACTGGGTCGTTTCCTCCTGGTACCCAGTGGAGCCTCCGGCGGCCGGTCTACAGTCTCCGCCAGGCGCCACGTGAGTGGCACGACACACTGAGGACGACACTTGCGGCTCTTGGGTTCGCTCCTTCTACTGCTGACCCGTCACTGTTTCTATGCACCGACACCTCGCTGCCGCCGTTCTACATCCTCGTGTACGCCGACGACTTGGTCTTTGCCACTGCTGACACTGCGGCACTCGCCCACGTGAAGTTGGAGCTGCAGAAGAGACACACGTGCACAGACCTGGGTGAACTGACAAGCTATCTTGGCTTGCGGATCACCCGGGACAGAGCACGGCGCACCATCACCTTGACTCAGTCACACATGGTGCAGCAGGTCCTTCAGCGCTTCCGCTTCACGTACTCCTCGCCTCAGCCCACTCCTCTGCCTACCGGTCACTCGCTCTCAGCTCTGCCTTCGGATGAGTCCGTAGAGCCGAGTGGCCCGTATCCAGAGCTTGTGGGCTGCCTCATGTACCTGATAACCTGCACTCGACCTGACCTTGCATACCCTCTTAGCATCCTTGCACGCTATGTCGCTCCTGGCCGTCACCGGAAGGAGCACATGGATGCCGCTAAGAGGGTGTTGCGCTACTTGTGCAGTACGTCGGGCATGGGGCTAGTGCTTGGAGGGCGAGACCGAGTTGTACTCACTGGGCACTCAGACGCTTCTTGGGCGGACGACCAGGCTACTCAGCGGTCGTCTCAGGGCTACACCTTCAGTCTTGGCTCTGGTTCAGTTTCTTGGCGTTCTACTCGCTCTTCTTCTGTTCTCAGCTCCAGTTGTGAAGCTGAGATCTACGCCACAGCCATGGCAGCCCAGGAGCTACGCTGGCTCACCTACCTGCTG